GAACGTGTTTCCACTCATTGGTGCGGTTTGTTCGTGATGCACACAGACAGTTGTCCACTGTTTATATCCATACAATAGCCTGTCGTAGAAGAGAAGAAACGCGCGTCGAGGTGAAGGGTGGTTTATTAGACTGATAATTTAGACTCATTCTAGTGTCCGCCACCAACGTGTGAGAAAAGCAAAGAGACAAAGAGTTGGAGTGCGTAAGTAGTTACTCGGTTCTGCCTTGTGTCCGCAACCGAATGCGTATATTCTCTCCCCACTCAAAAATTATGCTGTCGAGATGTGTATCCTCTTATCGGAAGGGTTGAGTTCAAAGTATTTGTTTGGCGACCCGCGACTAGACTCCCACGCATCGATCGCCTCGTGCGCCACTTCACTCGCAATTCAACTGGCCTATCGACATGGCAGCAAAGTCGAAACCATGATTTTGGTCTAGAGAGTGAGCAGTCGAGAGAGGTAAAGGGTCTCCCAGTCGAGCGACCATCTTATGTGCTGCCAGTTCTGCAGTTTTCGCCCGTTTGGCCTGTCTAGTGGAAGACGCACCCAATGCACGCAGTGTAGCAGTCAACGCTCAAGTAATTAGCTGGATTTAGTCGGTTCCTGACGCACGTCTTTATGCAAGACAGTGCGTCATAATCGCCGCCATTGCATTCTTAGGAGATTCTTCGGTTAGATCGCGGTTGGTAGCCAGGCCCCGTATTACAGGTGGCTACGGGGTTTGTTTACTAGAGCTATTTTATGGGACTCCATAATCACATCTGAACCATTTCGCTTCCGTTTAACGTTTGAGGTTAGGATTAGGATACCGGTTGATGGTTTCCGAGTTTTGGGTCAGGGTTATGCCTTAAGGCTTAGGTTTTCGGGTTACGTTAGGGTTTGAGCGTATGGTTAGGTTTCAGTACTACGGTTACGTTTTCCAGTTACGGCTATGTCTAAGGACTACGGTTACGTTTACTATTTCGATTAGGGTTAGGTTTGCCGTTAAATTTACTGGTTAACGTTTAAGGTTGAGGTTGGGGTTAGGGTAGGATTATGGTTAAGGTCGCCGTCCGCTTACCCATTCCTGGCTACTAACTGCGATCTAGCCGATTCTTCTATGGTGCTTGGTTTCCTACCAGTGTCGACCGTCCACGCAACAGAAAGAGGTTGACATAAAAACCCCCATAGTGGAAAAGGAAGCAATCAGAAGGGAAAAATTCTGCCTTTTAGCTCCCGGAAGTAAGCTATGCATTGCAGCCACTCGCGAACAAGTCCCATCAGCCGAAACAACCAGGGCACGAGAACAGTAACTCGAAATTGCGTATGATTTTTAGACTGTGTGGGTTGCGGCCAGAAAGCCATGTGTGAGCGAGCAAGGACAACACAAGTGCATCCGCGTGTGTGGGCGTCGATCTTGTGTGCTCAGCTCGCTAGGACATGAGATA